GAGAGAGAGAGAGAGAGAGAGAGAGAGAGAGAGAGAGAGAGAGAGAGAAAAGAAAATTACTTTTAGGCTATTTACTCATCCCACAGATTTCAACAGACCCAGCCTGAGGTCACAGCCCAGGATGTTCCCGTTTTTGAATGAACACTGGCTTTTTCCTTCCTCTCTCTCCGGCCACTTCCTGCCTCTCTTCTATCTTCTGTCCTTTGTTTCCTGACTTCCTTCCTGTCTGTCTTCTTAAATAAGTACCCCCTTAACGGCCTCTCTTTCTTAAATACATATCCCCTTGGAGATACCGGGTAGAGCTAAGGCCATCATACACCACAGAACATCTTCTGCGTGGAGTGCACAAATCTCCAGACAAGGGAACAAATCAGCCACCAGCACAATGACACAAAAGCCAGGAAACAGTTGTCCAAGGTAGCAATCTGTCCCTGCCCGAGTTCCAGGAAAAACACAGGCCTCTTGACTAGAAAGCTATGGTCTCTTGCTCTAAACTGGAATGATTTCCAGATTCATTGATGCAAAGAGCATACGCCTTTCTGGGAAATACAGTAAAAAGAGGTACGCTTTCAAATCACTCTAGTCTCCTGGGGCTCCCCCAAATCATTCTGACAGAGAGGAAGAGAGAAGTTGGCAGGTTTCAGCACATTAATAGCAAACGACAAATTAGTAACTACGTTCTTTAATCTTCAACATTCATAATTGCACAAAGTATCACTGATCATTTAAATAATACATGTCAAATACTCTAATGAAGGAACTGGTAAAGCGGAATGTTAAGAAGCAACAGCGTCGGAGAGTAACACTGAGTGCGGAGTCGGATCAGGTCTCTTGGAAGTTTGAAATCTGCCAGCAGGGCAAAGTGCTGTGGAGAGGCACACGGAAACACATTCAGCCTGCTGGCCCACGCCAGTACACACACAGCAATTTTAACTGCTTCCGCTAGCCGGGTTTTGCACATCTATACAATAGTTTCTGACACTACCATCCGTTGGCGGAATGGTTCTTTCAAAATAGAATTGGATGAGGAGGTCTAACCTCCTGACTAGCCCATGTTAAAGTGGCAAGCCAGAACTCTGCTCCCGAGGAAAATACTTTCCTTAGGAATGTATATGTGTCAAAGATGACTGAAAATCTTGTCCATGCTAGGGGAAAATCAAATGTGGAAAAATTTGCATTTTTCTATCTATGCCGTAAAGAAAATAAAAAGCCAGTGCGTTTTGGCATTAGCAAAAGGCTGAACTAAGTTCTCAGGCAATAAATTTATGGGGAAACATGACAGGCTTCTCATTAAAACTATGTGTACGTTGGCTGAATTTTATACAAGATTCGAGAATCTTGTGGAAAATTGGGCACGGCTTGACATCTGAACAATGTCCCTGGTTTGTTTGATTTCTAAAGCATTGGAAAATGTTGCACTTTGGAAATCAAGTAGAGAAGAATAAACACATTCTGAAACAGAGCTGGGCTGACTGAGTTATTTTTCCATATGTCTCCATGAGATATTTATTACGTTTATTTCTCTTACAAACACAGCCCTCATGCTAGAAATACTGTAGGGCCTTTTTCTTTTTCCTTTTTTTTTTTTTAGTGGTGAGAAAATAGTACTGTTAAGGTGAATCTTACCCAGCAGCAGTAACCACCTAAGGATAGGCAATTTTCAGTTGGCTTTTCAGAAGCTGGTTGCCATGACAAAGAGCACAATTTATTCCTTAGTCCCTTATCACAGCTCCGATCACAGACCATAAAAATTAACAGGGCTCTTCCTTCCCGTGACTTCATGCGCCTCATCCTTACCTGAGGTCTTTTGTTCCCCCAATTAAAGAGAATGGATGTCAGTCATCTAGCAATTCAATTAATGCCAATTCAAAATTCCGGCCAAAACCAGAATCTATAATCACAGCCTCCTAATCACAGCTCAGTCGTGAGAATGAAAAGCAAGCAGGAAATTGCACTCATTACTCAATTAGACTAATACTGTATTTTTAGGCAAGGGCTCGAGGGTTGTCAGCCCTGACAGAGGACTCGGGAGTCCTCCTCACCTGTGCCTTCCCCTTGCCTGAGCGACGACGACGACGCTGATGCTCTCAAGTGACTGTGATTGCTAGCCAGCTAACACAGCTGGGCTCAGATTAGGCAATGGGAGATTTTAATTGATCTAAGGCTCACAATGGAGGGGCCAGCAGTGGTGGCCTTCCAGGGCTCTCAGCACCCAGCTGGAAGACGCTGGGACCTTCCTCTACTAGGCCCTCCTTTAGGTGTTAGGGCAGCTGAGCACACACCTTTTTGGTCTCGGGAACCATTTGACAAGGGGATTATTTTGCATAGCGCCTCTCTGCTAACCCAGTAAGATGGAACCATGCTCAGAGACTCCTCAGCCTCAAACTCCCAGCAGAGCCTGCAGCACACAGGCTGGGTGACTCAGCCAGGCACCTGGCCTAGGGGGGGTCCCCACTGGGCCCGTGGGCTGCGGGAACCAAGACGCATCTGCACCCCTCGGGACAGAGGCCAATGCAGGCCCACCTAGAGAATCTTTCATGAAATCAACAGTGAATGAAAAAAAGCTGGCTGGGAAGAACACACCAGCAGATGTGAGGGAATTATTACAAAACAACACTGGTTACAGACCAAACAGGCTGGACCTTATTTAAAAGAAAGTATCTTTCTTTTTTCCTATTCAGTTTCCAGAGACATGGCTATCCTGTAAACAATAGAGAGGGCAGGAGAGCCTGTCAAGCTCTGGTTCTTGTGGTCATCTGTCAGAATCCTTCCTGAGTGAAGGGAGGGGGCTGCAAACAGGAGGGGCGGGCCTGGTCTGGCCTGGTCCGGCCTGGTCTGGCCTGGTCTGGCCTGGTCTGGCCTGGTCTGGCCTGGAGTGCGGCTTTCTCGACACCAGTTCTGAAAATGACCAAGGTGGGAGTGCTGGGGTTCCAAAAGGAGGGGACATTTATTTGACTACATGACACAGGTCTTCACTTCCAGGGTTTGCCTTGCAGGTGACCGCTGTTGGGTGTGCGGGGGTTTGAGTGGCCAGCAGGGCCCCCGGTGGGCAGGTTCTGGCCACTGCGGCCAGCAGGCACCTTCAAGTCTCTTCCGCCGGAGTTATTCTGGTTCATTCGGCCTGAAGGGAGCAAGAAAGAGGGGCAGAGATGCAACAAGGATTCCAGGGACAATCGGCCAAGAACACTTGGAAACTAACGATGCTCAGCCTATGGCCACTTCTAATGAAGCTCTCCACAGAGTCTGCTGTGGGCCAGGGAGGGTCTAGTTCTCGTCCCTGAGATCAGCTTGATGTTGGGGGAGGGGGAGGGGTGGGTGAAGCTCACACAGTCTGTTTCCTTCCCCTTCACTCTCCTCAACAACTCTGGTCTATCTCACACTTCTTCCTTGGTAAAGATGGGTATACAGGGTGAGGGGCGACTGAGGAGGGGAAGAGAAAGCAGCAGGCAAAGGCAGGAAGACAGAGCAGGAGGCTCCAGGCAGGCCTTTAAGCAAACCCAAAAGCAGAGAAGGAAGGGCGGATCTCCCAAGAAGGAATCTGGATGCCCACTCCCTGCCTCAGACACCCGTGCTGAACTCCACGGCTGTCCTCGATGCCTAATCTCTGCCATCACCGGTGAGCCTCACTAACACCTGCGTCATGCACAGGACCTCAAGCACTTCAAGAATATGGATAATAAAGGGACTTTCTGTATGATCAGGGATAGCCAAAGATATCAGCTCCAGCTCCACCAGAAACGAAGGTCAGAAGCTCTTACCCTGATTGCCTGCCAGGCCCTGCTCCGCTTCCAGATAGCATTCTATCTTTTTCAAGTCTTCTGGGGTAAATCTCCATTTGTTCTCAGCTGGCAGGGGTGGCATTTTGGGGCTGGATCGTTTCCGGGCAGAAGCATGAGGGAGGACCTGCTGGCAAGAGGCTGGCAGGGCACCAGTGACCAGTCCTTCTGGGAATTTCTGAGCTAAGACTTTCAGACCTAGATGTAGGAGAGCATAAGAAAAAGCAGGATTAACATAGTGAGGCCCCAGCGAAGCTAGAAGAGGCCTGTGTGTCTTCTAACCCTTCATCACCAAGCTGAAGATCTGAAATCATCCTTCACTGCTGTGTCAACATGTAAACTGGAAATGCCAGCCAAAAATTCCATAGGAAATCTTTTGCTCAAGTTTTTAGCATTCTTACAGAACCCTGCAGCAATGCTGTTATCTTAGGAATTCAAACCATGTGCGAGCTAGACCTGGTGGCCATGCTGTAATCCTAGCAGTAGGGTGCTGATGCAGGAAGATTAAGAGTTTGAGGCCAGCCTGGGCTATATAGCAAGGTCCTGTCCCAAAAAACATCAAGGCTTCGAATCAAGAAAATCTACAGTGCAAAAAAAATATGAAACTCCCCATTTCCCCCCAAAACAAACCCCACAAAGACGTGCAGACAGACATGCAGACATCTCACAGGACTCCCGGCTCCTTCCAGACAGTACGGCTTTCTCTCTGCCCAACGCTAAGGTCCTAGCACTGAGCACTGAGAGGTGACAGTGTGGGTCTGAAGGCTGCTGAGTGCAGACTGGATGTGTAAGGCAGACTGCAACTCTGCTCACCCCCAGAAAGCATGAAGAGGTTTTCGAACCCGCGTTCACACATGGTGGTGGCCGCCTGGCTCGCCAGCCTCTCGTCGTCGTCGTAGAGAATAATGATCTTGCCGTGAGCATTTTTCTGGGAGGTGAGTTAAGGTTCGGTGTTTGGAACGAGCACGACCTAGGTCCTGACAGTACAAGTTGCACACATCCCACCTTCTAGTTCTTTCTCCTTCACAGCACTGGGAAGGAGAGAGCACAGGCTCCATCTTCACTTTCTCTGTCCAGTGCATCCACTGATGGCTTCCTTACCATCATCCAACAGAACACTGAAGGTCCACAGCGAAGGGGCAGCTTAGGAAGGAAGCCTGACCAGGAGATGTTACAGACTGTCCAAAATGGAGCTCACCAGCAGCTTACCTTAGCACAGGAAATCCCAGCTGTGAGTGACAGCTGCAGCCGCTCTTCAGGTTTACAGCAACAAATGACACACATACATACAGGAGGGGACAGTCAGAGCCAGAGAGATCAGCACTGTGACAGGAGCTTCAGTTTCCTTTTTAATATTTTCAATATTTTTCTACTTGTATGGTTATTATGAATAAAAAATAAAAAATGAAAATAGAAAAGTCTTTATTACTTAAGTTCCATTCGGGCAAGCTTTCTAGAGGAACCACAGTCTCAGAGCCAGCCTCGACCAACTGTATCCCCTTAACCTAGTATTTTCTGGCACAGTGAAGCAGGATTGAAGAGGATCTGTTGTCTCAACAGTTAGGTCACTCAGCAGCTGCTAGGAACTGAAACTCTAAAATCCGCTAACCTGGTTAGTGTCAAAGGTCCTCTGCCGTTTCCACACATGGTTCAGGATAAGTTGGAGTCTTAAGATCCTGATACTATCCAACTCCTTAAAATACAACAAAGGATACATACTCAAGAATATCGTTTGAATAGGGGTTCATTGTCCTGGACAGAGTTGCGATTGGGTAACTGTAAGCTACAAGAGAAGAACAAGATTAGGAAGCCCTGAGCTCTCTTACAGTCTGGCCCCACTTCCCAGCTGGCTCACAGTCTACGAGGTAACTATACTTTCAAAGTCAGTGAGCCATAAACGAAACACACCTAAGTTCTTCATCACACATGAAAGGAGAGAGGGACCATGAACAAAGGAGCCAACGGCTTCCCTGCTCAGCGCACTGTGCACTGGGCCCGGGCGCCCCGAGAACACCTCAGCCTCTCTCGAGGAGGTGGGGGTGCTCACTCCCAGGGCTTCCGGGATGGAGCCAGCACAGACAGTTTCCCTGACTGTTGACCTGGGCTAGTTTTACGCTTCCCTGGAGAAGGCTAGGTTCCGCTCCTGGGACTGAGGGGCTCTCCTCCTCCTCCTCCTCTCTTACCCCCGACAATGTGGCACTGCTGATAAGAGTCTTTGTCCCGCACATCTAGCAGCAGGAAGGGGCAGTCCGGATAAGGCTTGTCTTTACCACTGGGCTCTTCCTTTTTCACTAGCCCTCTGTCTACATCCAGTTCCCCAACGCCACTGATGACGCTGCAAGCAGAAAAACAAACAGGTCATCAGAAACCAGTCAGGGGTGCGAGGTTGAAAGGTCAAATGTGTCTCTGCAGAATGGTGAGATGAGGGTTTCTTGTCTTTTCAAGGGTACCCCCAAGAAAAATTAAATGGGCAGAGTGCTTCATTTCTTTCCAGAAGGCAGGGCTGTGTGGATGCTATTCTACCATACTGGAGCCCAAGAAGGAGTTGGTGTGTCTTCATCATTATCCTCAGAGAATGCATGTTAAGTCGCTAGAAGGCTGAGGGGTAGAAAGTATAGAGCACATGCTGCCTTCAGCAACAAAGGCAACATTCAGAGAAGGAGAGAGGGGGTAGTTGATCCAAGAGGATGGAAGGAGCAAGAAAACAGAATAAACGAGCAGAGACTAAGGTTTGCAGGACAAGAAAAATGCAAAGGATTTGTATGCATAGTAAACACAGTATAAAGTACCAATAATGTTTTATATACTTCACATCCAGTCTCGGACCATGTGAAGACATTCCAGTCACATGTGAACAGAATGTAATGGCACTCCCTTAAGATGGCACTGCAGAGTGATAGAGGAGCCATTTTAGTTTGTTAAGGACACGCTCTATACTCCATCACGGAAGAAAATCATCTAATGACACATTTCTCGGAATGTCCTGTCATTATGTGGTGCGTGACTGTACTTACACAATGGCCTACCCGACATGGACACTGAGCCTTATTTTCAATAGTTATCTGCACTTACTTCCAATTTATACAGGAAGATGATGGGCCTGAAGAGGCTTTTAGAGTTATGTCTCATTCATATAATGAGACAAGGGAAGAGCTGGGATTAAAATACAGGAGCTCATCACTGACAGTTCTGTTTCTGAGATCATGAACCATGAGCTGCCATCTTAATGTCATAAAGAAAGTGTAGAACATCAGAGGACTAAGAGGACCAGGTCCCATGAGCAAAATGGCAAGTGGCGAAGTGTCTGTAAGGAAGTGGGGAGAGGCTATCGACAACTCTAGGACATGTTAAGGTGCTGCTGAACCAGAGATCGGTGTGTTGCCTTGTTCCTCTCCCACTACAGGACTTCACTATCTGCATTTAAATCCAATAAACACTATGACTCCATGCTACACAGTGTGTATTTCAATGAAGCAAAGGAGAAGAAAACTTATCTGATAGGAACCTGCACCCTCCGAGGAAGCACTGGTGGTCTATATCTCTTCTTTTTTAATCTCTTTCTTTCTGTGTGTATGTGTGCACATGCACTTGGGTGTATGTATGTGTTTGCGTGTGTGCCTGTGTGCCTGTGTGCGTATCCCTGGGTGTAAGTGTGTGTGCACCTCATGTTTGCAGGAGCCCTCAGAGGTCAGAAGATGATTTTGAGCTGCAATGTGGGTGTTGGGAACTGAACCCAGGTCCTCTGCAAGAGCAGCAAGTGCTCTTAACTGAGCCTCTCCCCAGCCCCTCCTAAATCCTCTTACTTCCATTTTTCTATAGCCCCTTCACAAAAGCAGCTGTGAAAATAACAATCCAGTGGCACCAATGATGGTCCTTTTTTTGCTAGAGATTTCTCTAGCAGAATCGTTTTGTGAGGAGATGGGATGGATACGTGCTGAAAACCAGCACCAGTCTCACAACCAACAGCTGATCTCTGTGAGAAGTAGTGCAAGGAATAAAGTCATCGTAAAGAAAAAGGATGAGCCATGTGCGGTTTGGGAATAAATGCCAGTGGCTGCTGTGAGTCTCTTCTGTGCCTGTCCCATGCCAGGGCATTCTGTGGCACCTGTGTCTTTCTTACTCTAGATGGGACAACATGAGCTTCAGTAGACAGGACAAAATTCATACTCAGAACAGAAACACAGTACCTGGAAAAGCAAGACCCTAATTAGCCTACCTGTAGAAGGGCTGAGAAGAACAGAACCAAGACGTAAAATTAACATGCGCCTATTAATCCACTCACATTAACTCGGGAAGAGGTGAGAAGGACTCATACAACACTGAAATAAAGAGAAAGACTGGAAAGGGCCAGGGATTCAAATGCGGGATGTCGGTCACTGAAATGGGTCAGCACACACAGGAAATGCTCGACTCCGACACCAGTACCTCTGGAGAGTGGAGCGACTCGAGTCGCCTGTTTCTGGGCTGTTGATGAACTGGACAGGACTGGGTGGCTGCTCCCCAGGGCTCCCTCTCCCATTGGTCTCGGCAGCAACTTCAGCATCAGCCTCTGGAGTTGCGGAGTCATTGTCTAAAATTTGCAATGAAGGAACACTTAGGGCTCAGCGGGTGAAGGCACTTGCCATCAAGCCGATGCTATGAGTCTGATCCCTGGGAAGGACACAGTGAGAGCAGAGAGCCAGTTCCCTCCCAGGAGTCAGCCTCTGACCTCCACATGTGCACTGTTGCATATGTGTGCACGCCCACTCACACCTACACCCACAAATAAATGTAGATTTTTTTAAATTTTAAAAAGAAGTGCCCAAATGGAGTCTCAGGGCTGGAATTCACTTATTAGGCATCTCCACTGATACAGAGCTAAAAACCAACCCTATCACTATTGCTAAGTTATCCTAAAAGTTGTAACACAGAGAGCTCTCAAAATGCAGTGAGGTGAACCCCAGAAGCGCTCAAGACCCAGTCACGCTGTCTACTAAGTGAGAACTATTTCTTAAGGTGTTATCTGTCCCCGTCCCCACCCCAGCTGAGGACGGAGCCCAATGCCCTGAACTTGGTAGGCAAGTACTCTACCAACCGAGCTAAATTCAAAACTGCTGTCATTTTTTTTTAAAGCTGTATTTATTTGCTCTCATGGTACAAAGACGACTGTGTGAAAACCCCAGCACTACGGTAAGCACCACATTTATTAGCAGTCATATTTCCCCCTGTTGCACATGCTCTCGCAGTAAATACATTTGGCAGTCATACTAAAGAGTGTCCCTCATAAACAATGATTAATACTTTTCATTAAACCTGACCTTGAACCGGTGTGGTGGCTCCCAGCTGTAATCTTAGCACTTGGGAGGCTGAGGCAAGAGGATTGATAGGTTTGAGACAGTGAGTCCCAGGCCAGCCAGAGCTACAGAGTAAGTAAGGCTCTAGGTCAGAAAAAACGAGAGAACTGTCTCTGTGATGTAGGTATTTGCCTTTGGAATATTCTGTGTGATGAAAGGGATATATATATACTGTGGCAATGTCAAGGACAAGGGTTAGAATGCTAAAATGTAGCTGAGCCAGCCATTTTTGCTGCAGGGGTCTTTCTTGGTAAGAAAATCTGGGTCCTTAGACTTGTGTATTTGGAGATTGGAGACATCGTCTCAAAGATGAATTGAGTGAGCATTCTTTTAAAATAAATCAGTTGAAGGTATTTCTTGTCAGTGGCTAAATTTCTAACAAAACTCAGAATTCTGGAATCTGTGTTTGGCACCCAGAGGTGAAGTATGAAGAGCCTCCCCACACTGGACACATTTCTGATCTCCATAGCTCAGTAAAGTGACATGTGACAAATAAGCAGTGTATGATATGATGTCACACACAGGCAGAAGATCCACTGAAAGCATGGGGCAGACCACAGGACTCTGATACTGCGGAGTGTAAAAGTCCATCCATGTGGGTCAGAAGGCAGATGGAACCATCGGCTGAGCAGGCTGCCCAGGCTTGTGATCCAGTAGAACTAGGGGGCTGAAGCTAGGCTAGGAAGGGGGAAGGGAGGTCGGGGGGAGCAAAGGGAGGAAGAGAGGGAAGCAGGAGGGACAATGAACCAGTCGGCGGGTTTTCTGCAGTAGCAAAGAAAAGTCTATAGTTGACTAAAATGGCTAGTGAAATCCCCTGCCTCTCCCAACTAACTACAGGTCCACGTGAGCCAGATCTGCCTCCCAGACTTCAATCCAAACAGCACTCTGCACTGACTGAAGACAAAAGGCAGATATCAAAATCAGCAGCTGTCTATTAAAACAGACATGAAAGAAATGTACAGAATACTTAGAGCCACTTGGTAAAACTCTGGGTAGGAAATGGAATGATTTTTTTTTTAAAACTCTAAAGATATGCTTTTATGGGTTGGGGATAAGACTCAGTGGAAGAGCATGTGTTTAGTATGCATACAGTCCTGGGTTTGATCCCTATTAACACACACACACACACACACACACACACACACACACACACACACACACACACACAGTTTTTGTTTGTGATGGGATTAGGATTGATATTTTTATATGTGGCAATAAATATTGCTTAAATTCTTAGGTTGAAATTTAATATACTTGGCCGGGCAGTGGTGGCACATGCCTTTAGTCCCAGAACTTAGGAGACAGAGGCAGGTGGATCTCTGTGAGTTCAAGGTCAGCCTGGTCTACAGAGTGAGTTCCAGGACAGCCGGGGTGTCACAGAGAAACCCTGTCTTGAAAAACAAACCAAAAATAATTTTTTAATATACTCAATTTGAATTAACATAGTTCACATATAACAAGCTCTCTAGGTCTTCAATAATCTTTAAGAACATAGAGGGGGGCAAGGCTACAACATTTGGGGATTTTCTGTTCTAACAAATATAATGAAAGAAGAAATAGAGGCTTAACTATTAAAAAAAGACTAAAATTTAATTTAATATGCCAAAACCTTTAAGCAAATGCTAGGAGAACATGGACAAACCTAAGGCTATGATGCTAATAATGCTAATAAGCACATAGAACATCTTTCTTCTACACTGATTAGAAAACATGAAAAGATCTCATTTACAATAACTACAGCAACGAAACATTCCCTTAGAAATACAACCACCCCACCTGCAAGCACCACACCAACTTCTAGGCCCTAATCTCATGCAAAGTTTTATTCTGGGTCTCAGCGAAGACTCCAATGAAGAAGCACCACTTGTGGTACATTCCTGATTGACTGCCTCCCAGTAAAACATGTCAGTCCTTTCTGAACTGAGTTTTAATCCTTAATTCTGGACTCAGTGGAGATTGTTACAAATAATCAAAGATTTTCCTCATCATTTTCAGTATTATATTGGTTCTTGTTGTATAAAGATACTAATTATCCAAAGTGTTCACAAATCAATAAGAAAAAAAAAAGGGCATTGTTTTAGAAAAATAAAATAGGAAACAACATATAAAAATATTTTAAAAGAGAGAGGCCCAGTAAATGAATGTATGTGGGCACATGCACATACATATACACATAGCTCAATTTCTTTAGGAATTAAAAAATAAAATGATTAGATATAAATTTTTATCCACTGCATGAGCGAGTAGTTTCTAAGTGTTAATTATTTTGCTTTAGTGGCAAGGTGTTCCCATTTACTTCTGACAGGAATGCATGCAGGTCACAACCACACTGGGGATGGTGTGGGAGTGGCTTCACCTTTGACCATCTGCAGCGATTCATTTTCAATGAACAATGAGACTCACATGCCTGTTTACACAGAACACAGTGTGGCATTATTTCATCAAAGTGACAAATCAGGAAAAAACTGCTATGCCCAACAGTAGAATCATTAAATTAAGGTATGTCTCAAAGAACCCAACTTTTACAGTCATGTTTTTGAAAGTCTGGTTAATGACATTGGAAAATACTCATGAAAAACATATTAATTTGAAGCTGTACAAAGCGAAGCTGTACACAGAGAACATGCACTGTAAGGCGGGAGATGCAGGAAAATGGACCCAAACATCAACGCTCATTACTATTTATTATCATTTTCTTCTTTATATATTTTTGCCATCTTGAAACCTATTTTTAAGTTAGGAAAAAGCATTAGCCTTGTAAAAGGAGGGTTTTGCATTCTTCAAAGGTAACCAACACATACACAGATACAGCCTGTTGTCCAGGCACTCTGACGGAGTTATTATCCATGTAGAGCACCAGAAAAACACTAATATTACTCACACATTATGGCGTCCTACTTTACAAGAGCCTATTTTGCTGTGCAAATTTATCTCAGAAGAGAAAATTGCATGTGCCCGTATGTTCTGGTGCAGCAATCTCAACAATGAATTAAAGGCCAAATCTAGGTGCTTATATAACCCAGTTAAAATTGGGAGCGCTTATATGAGGAGACTCAATTATCTCTGTTACAATGAACCCTTATTTTTCTGCTGGGCAAGAGGCATCTGTCAAAGATAAATTCCTGTCGTTTTCAGATTCTCTTTATCCTCCCTAACAAAAACCAGCCCAGTAAAATGACAGCTGAGTCGCACAAAACCAGTGTGTTCAGACTTCCTGAGAACCCTGTCTTGAAATCAGAAGTTAAATTCCTGACCTACATCAACCTTAACAAACGCATTCTTCTTTAGTAAACAGGCACGCATTGATTACAGGCTGCTTCAGGATAAAATCAAGACCCGAAGTCTGTGCACTCCTTTCATGAGTGTACAACTAGACGGGTTTATTTTCCAGTTGGTATTTAAGCAAGGAAATCTGGAGCCTGCTTATCTTTCTGCCTTATCTCCCACCCAGTGTCTCTCCGTCCCTGAAGACCAAAGCCAGCCTGGATTACCAGATTCCCGGCATACACGCTGTCCTTTCATGTCCAGGCCTTGCTTAGGCTTCTCATCCCCCATAACTCGTACCCCCCTTTGAGGCCTGGTTCAGACACCTTCAGGAAGCCTGGTCCAGGCTAACTGGAAAACATCCTTCCTTCCTGAGAACTCCCTCCCACAGTATCTCACATATCTTAAAGGAACTCTGCAGAGTGCCTTGGTGATAACAATGGAGACATTTCGAGTGAAGTCCCAGGTCCACTCTTCACTAGACATGCCACCGGGGCATAACTCCTGAGGCTTGGGCTCCTCGTCTTTGAGAATAGTAAACAATAAAATTCCACACTTAAAGACTGTGGCCTTCCATCCAGGAATCCTGTCACACAGTGACTTTAGCACTGTATCCTTCTCCCCGGCACATACACAGCTGTGTGTGTGCACACACAGCTACAGATCCCATGGGAGCAGAGATGTTTTCTCAGCTCTCTTGTTTTCTTCCCACTGACTTCTGTAACCTGTGTGTATGCAGAAGACATTAGAAACGTTTTCTGGGAAAAAAGGAAGCAGTATATTCAAACATCTAAAACACTGAAATTGTGTGTCAGAAAATGTTATTTTTTAAAGAAATGGGAATAATTAGGGCACCGGATAGCATTTCTCCAAGAGTAACTAATTGCAAACAGACGTGCGTATCAATGACCTGAGTCCCTGTGAACACACCGATAACCGCACAGGGTGAGTACTTTCACCCTCGTCGATCTGTTAGTCCCCACATCCTCAAGTCTCATTACCTTCCAGCCTCTGAATCTCCTCAGCTGTCACTTCCAGTGTTTGATCTGACAGGGAAGCAACTTGAATGACCTGAGAGAAAAGAATGAAATGTGTAGATGTGTATGCGTTTTTATTTTAAACACAGGCGATTTTGTCGGTTACAGAAGACGGGGAAACTCCAAACACCAAAGCTATCTTGTTTTAAGAAGCTGTAGTGTCGTAACTGGCAAATCTTACTGAATTTCAGGCATCTTAACCATCAGGGTTCTAATTATACCACAGAGGAATGTTCCAGAAAAAACAAAAACTCACTTAAAGCTTTACACACAAACAACACAAGAAACAAACAAGTAAATGAACGTCACAGTATCAACACAGAAGCCCAAAAGGATCAGTTCAGATGAGAAACATGAAAGAGTTTAAATCCACATCTGTACAGACTGATTCAGCAGAACACAGTATCACTTCAAAATGTGATGCTGACCTACAATGACCTAGAATGGTATGGACAATTCTCCACACAATTGGGGAACAAAGGGAATTATGAATATGCTGATTACAGATTGTCTGTCTTAACACAGTATTCATTTTAAAAGCACTGTCCATCAAGCCTCAAATCCAATGTGAGCCACATCAACGAACCTCTTGTGTGGGGGTCACAGAGACACCTTGTCCATTATTTTTCAGTGAGGAAAGAAAATGCCTCGCCTGGAGTAAGGAAAGAACTCAGCAGAGCAGTTCAGAAGGCTCAACGACAGAACAAGGCCACTTGTTTCAAAAAAAAAATCAAACAATCTAGAATCGACAATCTTAGATTCTAAATAAAAGTGTGCAAAGTCAAATAAAACCTAAACCACAAATCTAATCATTAAAAACAGAATGCAGATATATTTATTTTATGGAACCCTTACTAAAGAGAAAAACTTCATGTCATCCTTTTGTGAACATCACCCCCACAGACACCAATTCACCCCCGATGGTGAAATGGGAAGGGTCTGAAGCCACTCCTTGCAAAAAGACCGGAGAGATACCTAGAATGCTCACGTAGAACAGCACCAATTCACTTGTATTCCAATCCAAAGATCACTGAACTTACCAGCTGGGCAAAAGTGGTAACTTTTAGTCTCTTGAAAAGTTCATCTTTTTTGTATCTATAATCTGAAAAAAGCAGAATACAACATGCGTTATGTGGGTTCATTTTAGTCTCTCTCTCTTTTTAATAACTTATTTAACTTTGTTTTATGTGCATTGGTGTAAAGGTGTCAGATGCCCTGGAACTGGAGTTACAGACAGTTGTGAGCTGTCACATGGGTACTGGGAATTGAACCCAGGTCCTCTGAAAGAGCAGCCAGTGCTCCTAACCCCTGAGGCATCTCTGCAGCCCCCCCGGGCTATTCTTTCTAGTTATCAAGTTATATGGTGTGACTTTCAAGTTATGAGTGCACTTTAACTCATCATCTGGTCTTCACCATGTGCTCCAGGCAAGGTGGTGTTTGCACGCGCGCGCACACACACACACACACACACACACACACACACACACACACACACACGTGATTGGCCACCTCAAGAGCTTTCCTTTCACTAAGCTGTCTCCACTACAGCCATACTGTGTGGCATGCATTCGTGTGAGCTGCCTCAAATCCCTTTCAGAACAAAGCAAGGGATAACGTCTACATTTCACAGATGATGACAGAGACTCTTGAGAAGCTGAGCTGCCTCAGGCCAAACAGCTGGTAAGGCATCTCTGCCCTGATATTCTGACTCTGACTTCAAAGAGAGCAATCGCTTTTCCCCTGTGCTTGTAAACTATGCCAGAGACATGAGGCATCGTGTGTGTGTGTGTGTGTGTGTGTGTGTGTGTGTGTGTGTGTGTGCGCACGTGCGTGCTGGTGCAAGGTTATGATTGGGCCTCATGACTTAATGGGTGTTTCTTTAAAGAGAAACCAACCTAGTCAGTTTCACACGATGAAAGTTCTGGAGGTCTGCTGTACAACAGAACACAACACTACCACAGTAGCCGCTCACGTGACAACGGTTCCATGGTAAATTACGCTTTGTGTTCTGACCAGAAAGGAAATAAAATCCGCTAAAATAACAACCAGCCGAAATAATGTGTGCTCACTCAGCATCCTCTTCCTAGTTCTGAAATATAACTCAAGCGGGGTGATTCTACAGTTACAGCACTGTCTCTGTCGTCTTTGGTTTGTTGTTGTGGGTTTGGGTTTGGTTTTTCGAGACAGGGTTTCTCGGTGTAGTCAGTCCTGGCTGTTTCAGATCTCACTCGGTAGCCCAGGCTGGCCTCGGACTCAGAGAACTAGCTGCCTCTGCCTCCTGAGTGCTGGGATTAAAGGTGTGTGCCACCGCTGCCCATCAGTAGCTCTTTGTATCATCCAGGCCTAGGAGAACATTCTGCAGTCCTAGCAACTGGGAGACAGAGGCAGGAGGATCCTGAGTTCAAGACCAGCCTGAACTAACAGCAAGACCTTGTCTTCAAACAGTGAAAAAGACATCTTCATATCACATCCAACAAACATTAAAAACTGGACAATCTCACTTTTCTAATATCTGCTCTGAAGATTCTCACCAGAAGCTCACTTCCTGAAAATTTTCTAACAATGAAGCTAATTTTAAAGCTTGCATTGTTGAACTCTGCCCGCCTTTATCCTTCCTTCCTGTTCATGGTTTTTACACTGGTGCCCAAGACTCCTTAAAGACCGCCTCATTATTTTAGAATTACTAAAGGTTAGCCGGATAATTGCCATGGCCTTCACAGAATGTCTCATAACCCAAGACTCCTAGCAACAAAGGAAAGGATTAAAGGTGTTTAAGATTATTTACTTGGTGTTACTAATCAGTTCCATGAATTCCCCAAAAAAACTCAGCACAAACTGGACGGTTACTTTGGAGGCTAATCTAAGCTTGATTTACCAAATATTTTAATAATTAGAGTCAGGAAATAATAATACCTTAAAAACTAACCATCTGTTAAATATATTACAGCTCTTTCTTGCAGGGAATTGAAACTTCTCTGTTTGAAAATGTCATGAAGAGAGCAATTTGGCAAGTAAACTATTATTTCTAGAAAGTTCTTAGAGCAGCTTCTACTGGATAAAATAAGTTAATAAATGTGCCTGGATACAAATCCCAACAGGCTGAGTAAAGTCCTCAGAAATACAAGCGAGCTGCTACAGTATTTCCCTCAAATTGCCAGCAGCCTGCCCACCTAAAGAAAACTTTTGTAAATCAAAATAGCAATAAATTAGACAATGGAAAAACCAATAGCTTTCAAGGAGCTTCAATTTTGACATCTACGCATTGGTATTCTTTTGGTATTGTTACATAGCTTGAAATACCTGTAAGTATAAAATGTACACATTAGAATCCCCGTAGCTAGACAGAAAGGACACCACATACTAGCAAGCTTTGCTGCAGCGTGTAGAAGCTTTTGTACAAGCCTCGGGACCACCACACTGCAGCCGGGGGGACATACCTGGTTCTGGTTTAGGAGGACCGCCGTCAGCAGGACTTTCTGACATTATTACCCAGAGACAAAAGATCAAGTCAAAGTCTTACGCAGAGTTTTCAAGTGTATAAAAAGATGACTTGGACAGCTGTCGGTCTGTCCTCGCAAGAGCGAACACAGCTTTAAGGATGGAGCTTCCACTACTCCGGCTCCTCTCACACTCTGAGAAGAACCATTATCCCAGCTCAGACACACTATCAAGCTTTGCTTCTCCAGTGAGCCCAGGGGCTGAGTTGGCCTCTCTCGAGTTACTGGAAGGACAGAGACCTGACTATCTAGGATGTTTCACACTGGGTCCAACTAGTATCATCTAATCACCAGGTCCCAAGAATGGGCTTTGTCAATGGTCAATAGCAGAGAGCATCATTTTCCCCAGGTACAGTGCAGAGCATGTTCAGGTTACAAAGGATTTCTGCATTTTCAGGGTTCTGTTAAAATGTGTTATTAGCAAAGAAAAGGAAGTTGAACTCACAGAGGAAGACAAATCAAAGAAAGGAACAGAACAAGGTTTGTGTTTTCACAGACAGACGTGGCATCTGAGGTCAGGCCAGCAGAGAGCTGGGTCTAGAATGTCAAGAAAGCAGGCAGCGTCTCCTCCCTTTAGACCTAAGAGAACACTTGCAACAGAAAATGGGGTGGGGACGGGGGCAGGAAACAGCTTCTAAAATGTGGGTGCCAAAGGGATTCTAAAGTATTTCTGTGGGGACGGACACAAAGGATGGAGGTGAGAGGAAGCCATGACCTCTAAGGAAGGAAGGAGGGACTATCTTCAGGGATTCAATTCCAAGAACAGGTCTTTGCAGGAGATAGTCTCCATTAAAGTTTAGGGACTCTGGAAACCACACTGTACTCTTAAGAAATGTTTTCAAGCAAGGTTTAGATGATCTGGGTGGAAGAGATCCTGGCATGGAACAAATTCCTGGTAAGGGCATGTGAGCAGACATCTAGCTTCAAATGGGAGGGAGGTGAAAGGGGCCGCAAAGCCAACCAGAAGCAGCCCGGCTGGGTGCCGAACCGAGGACTCCGGCAGTGCGATGTCGGTGAGTACACTCAGATTTTCCTTCATAGTTCAGAAATTTAATCCATCTTATATAAAGACATATAACTGACATCGCGCGAAATGAAAGAGAACAATCCTGTGACATTGTATTTATTATTTAATATTAAATACATTCTCTAAAATGTCTATAGAAGTAGGTCTTCTAGTTGAGTGTAGCAAACAGAGAGTAGAAACCTGCCCCAAGGCCACACCTACTGTGTGTTTCCCTACACTGTGCAATTCAGATGGGACACCATCTTTTTTAATTAAAAGGCCTGTTGTCAAAAAAAAAAAAAGTTTTGATGTATTTCAGAATTGTAATTTCTCTCCCAAGAAAATGCATGTTAGCAGAGCCGAATCCTGAACTGGGGTGCGTGTGTGCATCTCTTCCTATTAGCCAAATACCCTGACTCTGGCTTCTCCTACTTTCCACAAAGAGAATCTAGCTTAGAAAACATCTTCTTTAATTCTGGCCTCAACATGGACATTTCATATCGATTGGTTTGGGACACAGATTTAAAAAAAACGAGGATTCTCTGTGAGAGCAATGCATTCAGTGACCAGTCAGATATCTCTGCAGAAGATTAGCTTCTAAAAGGGATCTGTGTGAAATATGGTTTTAATTAAAAGAAAACAGACGGCAACAAACGGCTAATGTAGAAGACTAAGGACAAGTCGGCTTCCTCAGACCTCTTAGTCCTTCACCAGCATTTGCCGATGACTACTTACAAGAACACTATGAAGAGATTTATTATTACCCTATCTCAGGGATGGATCAAATAAGAAGACAGGGCACTAGAACAAAAGACCACAAAAGCCTGCAGGACCAGAGACCAGAAGCTTGGGCTGGGACTATTCCCACATTCTAACACTGCCGTCCCCATAGGGTGTATGCTGAGTGGACACGGGGTGCCTCGTGTCTGCAGGCTCAGGCTCACATGACCCCACAGCCCTCCACACATGGCAGCCGGAGAGTGGCAGCCAGCTGAGAGCCGACTGACTACAGAGCTCCATCCTTTCTCACAAGCCATCAGTAGTGGTACTCACTTTTTTTAATCTCTTCTAGCTTCTCGATGTATTTGGTCATACTGTTCCCTAGAAAGAGAAGACAAATCTTAGACATGCTTTACTGTTGGAAATGAGCACGGCTGTGAAACTAGGCTGAGAGCAAGACCCCCTCAGCTCCTCTGTCCTGTTACTAGAGAACCTGGGACACCAGGCAAATGAACCACACATGGGAAACAGCCTTGTGGACTATGTGGCATCAGCTAAAGAAACGGAACCAAGGAATGCTCTGGGCCACTGAGTTTAAGCCCAGGTGCACTGGCCTAGCCATTGCAGTCTCAGGCAATACAGATGATCATTTACAGCCTGCATTCCCTTGTGTTACCCTTCTAGAGTCAGAGGCTTCTTCCTCCTATAGCCCTCATGGCCTCTTTTGGTTAGATATCCAGAGGAAGACGAAGAAAGAAGCTATCATCTTTGAATGTCTAAAATCTGCTCTGTGGCTGCCCAGGCAACTCCTTCCACTCCACTCTGTCTCTGCGGCTTCCCCTTCCCCCCACTATGTATCCCACTATTCATGCTGATGCTGCAGCCTGAACCAGACCACACAATCTGGGCACCAGTATTCATGGCGGCCTTGGTGTGCCGAGGTTCCCACTGCTGTGGAGCACGCCCAGCCCTCATGTTTTATGGTCTGGTTCTACAGTACTCAGCTCTAGCCAAGATGGTCTGGAGCAGTTTCATGTTTTAAAACTGGTCCATGATCATTCTGGCTTTCAAATGAATTCAATTCTAGCTTTCAAGCCAGGGCTATGATTATTATTATTTTTTAAACTGAGTGTGCTGAAGTTTGATTTAATTCAACATGGCAAGTTCAATCTTGCACCTAAACATGGCAAATGAAAAACATTCAAAATAATTTCTCATTTCTATAGTTTTGCTCCTCTTTAAACCATGAGATCCAGCCTAACTTCAGATCAAAGTAATGCTTTTGACAAATGGCAATGGGCTGCTGTTTCAAAGCACTATTCTGAACTTTTCTTCATGTTTGGGTCAGAGACTGAGAGGAAAATAAATCCCGTTTTAAACCCCTAAATGTGTTTTCAAAATAATAGCATACTTAATTTGTTATTAAAACTTTACCATGAATTCATCACAGAATAAACACGCACTGTTTTAGGTTTATTTTTAATTATTATTGTTACTTTTGCCTGTTTTTATCTTAGGACACACACTCTCTATCAGGATAGGAAGGGTGCAGTGTGCCCCTAAACTCAGATGGTATTATTCCAGAATCCCAGAGAGAAATCGGGGCTGCTAAGGAGGCCTGAAGCTGGCTCAAGAGAGACCCTCCCAAGCCACCAGGAGCCAGACAAGAACCAAATACAATCTGTTTTAGGAGCTTTGGGTTTTTCTTTCTTGGGTCAAAGCTTTTTTCTCCTTTTGTGGGGAGGATATATGGAGGGAGAGAAAGAAAGAGCAAATACTCCTTAAATGTCTACACTAAGCCCTTTGACCTGAGACTCGCCCCGGGAATTCACAGCAGAAACCATCAGTCCTTCTGAATCCCCCCTTTGGCTGCTGCAGCTCTGCACTCAAGTGCGGACTTGCCAGTCAACACACCGAGGTTTGCAAGAAAACGCTAATTAGTTTGCTGTACAGCATCTTAGAGTCTTATCCTTAAAACACTCGCCACAAGAGCCCTAGTGACAGGTCCCTTCCTGTGTCTCCTACGCTGTGTGTGGTTGAAGTGGCAGCTTCTTTAGATTTAGGGGAGCTTCAGGCAATCTAGTTAGAAAACTGGGAGGAAAAAAAAAAACCCTCATCAATTTGCCCAGCAATGCAGCAACTTACCAATTATTCGAGGATTAGCATTCCCAACCTCCCGGTTTCTAGTATGGCTCACAGAACCACCCAACCACCCGGCTTTTCTACCGGTGTTTTATTGTAACTGGTAGCGGAGAGTGAACCCCAGGCTTCCTGCATGGCAGGCAAGGAGTCTACCCTAAGCGACAATCACAGTCCTGTGGTTTAAAAACATTGTAACCTGTAGGGAATGTTCCTTCTAAGATCATAGGATCATTTTGATGCTACACGTTCCCTGAGGAATGGAAAACAACAGGCAGCTCCATTTATTTAATCTCTTATTAAAATACTGTAGTCACAACTAATATTGTTCCTACTAACAAAGTACCTAACATTTATATATGTATGCACGCCTTTGTTAAGATTTCTGCAGTGCGGGGGATTGAATACTAAGTAAGTGCTCTACCACTACGCTCTACGCCGGTCCTGAAAATGAATCTCTCCACTATCACCATTTCCTGTAGGTTTGCACAGCACTCTATCGTCTGCCATCAGCAGACGTCCACCAGAGTGCTCAGAGGCAAGGGATTCACTACCATCATTTGCTTTTCCTCCTGACTAAAGGAAGAGGCAGAAAAACAAAAACCTCTGCGTTTCTACAGTTACCTGGCAAAATTATGAACAGATCTAAGAGGGCTAGTAACAAAAGGCTTTTCTTTATAGACATCCACTCTTCTCCAGGTATGAGGGGAAAAGAGAGTGGAGGGTTTCTCTACTGCTTCGGCTGGAGAAGGGAGACCGAAAGAGGACTGCCCTGGCCCCTTGTAAATGATTTGAGTCAGTATGAGAAGTGGCATTTTATCAGGCATTTTATAGTGGTGTGGCAAATGAGTGCTTTGTCTTACTCCATCTAATTGCAACAAAATGACTGGAAATGGAGGAACTTCATAGGCCATTTATTTACAAACATGTCTTTTATACCAAAGGAGCCTGAAAAGCTATTAGAGAACTAATCTTTTAAGACTTTTTGAAATCCAGTATTATTGCCAAATTTTCCTAAATCAGACTAATTAAAAAGCCAAACAAAGCAAAATAAAAGCTGAGTGGCTGTCCACTGCCCAATACTGAATTTGAGTTCCCAGCTCTAGCAGGGAAGAAGCCAGCAGCTTGCTGACTTCCAGCGGGTCTTCATGGCTCACCTTGAGCTCTGCTAACCTTCATTTCTACAGTCCCTGCTCTGGCTTCCCCAGCACGAAGCGTGGCCTTTCCCTCCCTCCCTCCCTCCCTCCCTCCCTCCGCAGCAAGCGGCTCGCCTCTCACAAGGCATATATCACCGACTAGACTGCCTTATCTACCTTCGTCTACAGAAAGCCCAGGGCTATTTATCTGTGCACATCCACACACACAATCTTTATTCCTGTGTTCTAGTGTGGGAGACACTAGAAATACACTAGCTGGATGAAATACACTACAAAACCCTGCTGTTTGAAAAGTCCTTAGAGAAAAGTTATTTTATAATGTAACTAATCACATCCTGCTTTGGCTTGTGTTTCATATGTCCGATCTTCTGATTTCCTTTAAATGATATACAACTTAATTGATACATAATTATGTTACAGAGTACACGTATGAGCCATCGATTCAGGCAACCTAGAAGCGCCTAAGGTGATATTTAGCTTCTACCTTGTTTACCACTGAAGTTGCAATGAAAGATATCTAATCAGAGTTCCACTATTTGAATCAAGAGAAAGAAACAACTCAACTCTATCAGCAGCCTTGTGCAAAGACAGAGTACAATCGATTCACGGAGTGACTCACTGCTTTGATTTTTTTCCCCATTGTGTTCCTATAATTTAATAACGTTATTTGTACTGAGCATGTAACAAAAGCAAATGATTCTGAGCAGCAGTAATCTAGAGAGGGTAAGATTTATAAGGCAGGAATTCAGTTGCTAAGAGACAGCTCCACGGCTTTATTTTTTCTTCAATATTTCCCTCCTCTATGGAGAAGTTCTTTTGGCTCAGAAGGAGCAGGAAGCGTGAAAAGAGGCGGCACAGTGGTCCTTTGTTAACCAGATCAGTTCTACGTGGGTCTACAGCTTTCTGGTTTGTAAAAGCTTTTCACATACATTCCTTCCTTTGACGTAAGAGACAAATCAAATACCAAATGAAAACGAAGCGCATGTAGTCTGTAATGAGCTTGAGTGCTTAAGATCAAAACTATTATCGAATAATCAGGAAAAGGAGAGACGAAGGAAGAAAAGGAAATGATTAGTTGTGTAGATGTAACAAAAGGAAGGTGACATCCACAAAAATAAAAATCATGCTAGAAAAGACGAAGTGGAGGAGGGTACAGGATTTGGAAAGCCGCAGACAACTGAATTAGATTGAAAACCGAAGCGAGAGAACAATGAAAGCAGCGCCCATGAAAGATGAGACCCACACAGGAAGAGCCTGGTTTAGAGTGTCCTTAATGAAGCCCGTGGAGCTGCAGAACCAAGACCCAGAGAGGTGCCTGGAACACATGGTCCTGCCTGCCACTGGGACTGAGCAAAATGCAAGGGGGCCTCAGAAGTCAGGCCCCTCTGGCACAGTCCCCAACGGTGGGGGCTGGAAAGGAACACCTAGGCACCTATGAAACAAAGGAAATGCTGCATGTTCCCCATAATTCTGATGTCAGCCCCAGCTGTGCGGCAGGGCTCAGGCTTCTGTGAGGAGTGGAGGCAGGAGCACAGAGACAAAAGAGCCTCTTTCAGGAGGAAGGAAGAGACCAGAAGACATGCCACAGACATGAAATGCCACAGAATTCTTGATT